ATGCTGCTAGTGCCAGGCCTGGGGCCACTTAGCAAGAGGTACATAGCACACTGAGGCCAGATGCTGCTTGTTTTGAGAGACTTTAGGAAAGGCTGAAGCATGAGTCAAGCCAGGCCATTCATATGGAAAAGCCAATGGAAACAGCTTGGGTTGGGCCTGCCTCTTGGGTAGGATGGGGTCTCAAGGAATTACCAGGGCAGAGCAAACAGTGAAAGGTTGATGGAGACTCGGATATGGTGGCCATGACTCTGTGTGTGGGGTGCGGGGAGGCTTAAAAAAGGAACAATGGCCTCTGGTAGCACTTCTATCTGGGAGAAAGCTGCTCCCTTCCCCCCCCCCCCCCCCGCCCCAGCTCACACCCTAATGCTGGATAATTTAGTTCCTTCCCATATGTTCCCGGTGCATTTCAAGCTGCTGCCCCAGCACTGGAGCTCAGAGGGAGTGAGTCCAAGTAAGGCCATGACCCAGCCCTTTAAGCGGAATGCCTGGGGCTCCAGCAGTCTTCTGTGTCACTCCGCCCCAATCCCCATTGGTTTTTACTGCCAGAAGTTATGGGAATTTCTCTTCCTGGCACTGGAACCCTGAGCTAGGGCACTTGGTGTGGGGCCAGGACCCCTGCTCTCCAGGGGAGACCTCCACAGCCAAGATTCCACTCTCCCCACAACCCATTTTTATCTGCTACACATGGGTTCGGGGCCAGCCAGTTCTACAACTCCACCCACCCCTCCTACCAGTCTCAATGTAGCTTCTCCTTTAATCCTTAGTTGTAGGACTTCCATTCGGCTAGATCTCAGGTGGCTCTGAATGGTGGCTGTTCTATAGTTCAGTTGTGAATTTTGATGTGGTTGTGGGCGGAGGCAAGTATGCCGCCATCTTGAAAATCGAATGAATTTACATTTAAGAGCTTTTTGAGCTTAGCATTTTAATTCAGTGAATTCCTGAAAATGTGCAAATGTTTATCTGAACGGGATTTCACAGCTCAGGTGGATCCCAGCTCTGCTGAACTTCCTGAATGTGGTGCTCTACTCACCTTATTCCCCAGGCTTTCTCCTCGGCACTGCTACGGCAGGGTGAGCGAACTGAACATCCCAGTCCCACCCAGGGTCACCCTCTTTCACACACACATTGCAATCAAGAGAAAAAATATATATCTTCAGGACTGAATAATCCATAATAAAAAAGGTAATAATGTAAAATAAACCATGTGTATGTCTATACTACATTCTATAAAGAACTCTTGAATTAGAAGAGACTGGGAAATCTAGATCAACCATTTGACTCAACTTGTGCCTATTAGTTTAGCATCAAGGCTAAATGATTAAGCCGCTCTGTAAATACTCAGGAGCCTCTGAGAAGCCACATTGAACCATGAACACAAAAAAGCAGAAATAAAATGGCCAGCAAATAGAGAACAGTGAATCAAAGACAGGCGAAGACTAGAGACTGGGAAAGCTGTAGGTTTTCCAGTCCCTGGTGCCTAATAAGGTCTGTCTGTATTTGGCTTCCATCAAATTCCTTTCTTTCTTTTTCCTAAAACTAGTTCAAGGTCATTTCTGTTACTTGCAACAGAAGCTTAAATGAGGAAATAATCAAAAATCCTCCACAAAGTTATTTGGTTGATTCATTAGTGGTCGATCTTTTCCATACTTTCTTTTCCCTTTATTTGTATTTCCTTAAAAGCCACACATATGACTTTGGTAGGCTATCGAGACAAATATGTGAACAGAGACCCAGGATTGTGCTGAGCATTTTAAAAGGAAAACTCATCATGCCCAGGAAAGAGAAAACATAGGAACGTTCAAGTAAAAGCCTTGAGATATCTGGACAGCAAACAGAGTTGCTAATTAACAACCAGCAAATTAAATAAATAGCTATCTGATTACCCTCCTTTTGAAAGCCAATTTAATTCTGAATAAACCAGATGGGTAGGTCCAATCCATCTCCTCTGAAGTAATGACCAAAAAGTAAAAATCCAGCCCTGGTCAGTGTGCTCAATGGTTAGAACGTCAGCATGTGCACTGAAGGGTAGCGGGTTCGATTCCCAGTAAAGGGCATGTACCTGGGTTGTAGGTTCGATCTCTAGCACCAGTCGGGGTGTGTGCAGGAGACAACCAATTGATGTTTCTCTCTCACATCAATGTCTCACTCTCTTTCCCCTCCCCCCACTCCTTTCTACTCTCTCAAAAAATCAATGGGAAAGATATCCTCCAGTGAGGATTAACAACAAAAAAAAGTGGAAATCCATACAGGGAATTTCATCTGGAATGCCCACAAATAACTAGCCACAGTCCTCCTAACCACAGAAAGGTTTGAGTTCTTCCCAGTGGCATCCCTACCCCGGCCCCAAATTTCAAACTGAATACCAAATCATCTCAGGACCTGGTCTTCACTATCTCCAAAGAGTGGTTGGCATTTACCCTACGACATAACTAGCACTTTCTGGTATCAGCTAGGGGGAAAAATTTACAGAAGCTTAATATTATGAATGCTGTCCAGGTGTGTGCATGTGCCAGGTATTAAGACATTCCTGAGGCAGATCCAGACCCCCTGAAGCTGGATCCACACCCATCAGATCTGACTAAAGTAGACCAGTTTAACATGTATAGCAAGTCAGAGTTGACAATCAGAAGTTTGAATCAATGTAGTGGGTGGCTCTGTAGAATCCTATAAACAAAAAAAATATCATAGGATCGTAGAGTTAGAAGGGACTTGGAGACTATGTCCAACTTCATCATTTTACAGAGAATAAAGTGGAACATCAGAACCAAATTCATCAACCAAATCCCTAACTACAACGAGTAACACAGGAGTGATAAAAAGGGATTGTGACACCCGATCGTGTATTTGGTTCTTTATTTCAACTTTACTTCTTAAAGTTGCTCTCTAATGGTTGAAAATTTATTTTTAATTTAGAAAATGGATAACTGTGTTACAAAAATCTATAAAATCTACTATTAGGATTTTAAAACATATTTTGTTACTTGATTTCAGCAAAACAGTAAAGATTTCTCACCTCATGGGTTAACATTTTAGTTAAGATATTAGAACAACCACCTTTAAAAGCCAAATAATGGGTGTGGATTCAAAACTTAAATGATATTGTATGCTTGCAACCTTGGCAGATAAGCAGTAGGCACTGTGACAAAATTCTAAATGGCAGAAAGATATTTATTTTAATATAAAAAAAAAAAATCCAGACATTCACATAGGGTTCTAATAAAAAGTCACCAGAAATTAGACTTATATGTCAGCTGGAACCAAAATTAAAAGAATAAATGTTTAAATGATCTAAATATAAACTTGGTGTTCAAAATTGCTAGCTAGAGGCCACAGTATGGTGGATTTGGTCTTCAAGGGCTGTTTACCACAGTATTAGGTGAGTCAACACATCACCAAGGAAAAGAAAACAAACATCTATTCCCTGAACAAGCCACTGTCCATGATGCAGCACAGTATATTTTAGAAGACTAATGATAAAATGTGGAGTTAGAACTTGTGTTTCCCAAGAAGTGCTATTAAAGTTACTCCTAAAAGGTGAATTCATTAAAAAGTAGGTCTTTCTGAAAGACAATATTAACCAGAAACAAATAAGAAATTGATATTAGTTAAATTAATATTTGTAAACTGTACATGTAATAAGTTACATTTTTAAAAATACCCCATTAATCTGAAGTGACAATTTTATAAGTTACACAAAATCCTGAAGATTTTTTACAGAAAAAACGAACTTTAAAAATCTATTTTGCCAACAATGTTACAAATGGAAATATATGAAGAGATAGCCAGAAGGTAATGAATATAACCTAAGCTTAAGAGTCAGCTTTCAACTAATTTATGAATCCTATTGGTTAGCCACATCTTATTTTCAACAGTTTAGTATACTGGTGGCAAAAACAAAAGCAAACTAAAATTTCCTAAAGAGTCTGAACTCTGAGGAATTACAGTTTTTGTTGCTCCATGCTAGATAAAATTAAGAACAGAGTAATTCCGATGATGACTAATTAGATACTGATCACAAATACAAAAGTTCATGCAGTTTCACATTTACCTTAAACTCTGCATTTGTACTTTCAAATAATTAACTTTGATCATAATGTTATATTTAAAAATAACTCTGATATTTTTCCACATGATTTAAAGAAAAGGATCCTTAAAAATCGGTCTAAGACTTCAAAACTGCCCCACTTGCTAGCCTCTAGTCCTAAACCAAATAATGGAAAGGCATCTTTTGTTCACAGAGTTCGACCTGAAATAGAGCAGTGTAAAACTTAGAAAACAGGCTTCGATGCTTTTTTCCGCTTAAAAAGAAAACAAAACTAGTACCTGGCAAACTCGGGGTTTTGTTCGGTTCTGGCCTATTAAAGACCGGCGGGGCCCGCGGGAGCCCGAGCCGGGCGGCGCGGAAGCCGCGGCTGGCGGGCGGCGGGCGCGCCCCTGGGTGCGCCCCTCCTCGGCTCCCACCCGCGGGTCCCGCCGCTGCCCCCCGCGCCGCCCGGCGCCCACGCCCCTCCCCGACGCGGCGGGAGGCGCGGGCCTGGCTGGCACGTTCCCACGCGCCACGGCCCGTTATCTGAGCCGCCACCTCAGCCGCGCCGACCTGCGCGGAGCAGGGGTCTCCAGGGACCCCGCCGCGAGCCCCGCGCCCCCCGAGCCGCGGCGGCGTCCCCTCCCCTGCCGCCGGCCGGCCGCCCCGCCAGGCCCCTCTCCCGGGGGCCCACGCCGGGCAAGAGCCTCCGCGGGCTCAGGTTCGCTCCGGGGACGGGATAAGGTGTCAGCGAGGCGGCCAGGCGCCTCCCGTCGGCGGGGGCGAAGCCAGCCCTGACCTCGTTCCAGCCGCCCGTCTCCCCCGCGCCCCTCCTGGGCTCGGCAAAGGGGTGTCCCCGCGGGAGGCTGGAGGGGGCGCCGCCGGCGCTCGCAGGGGACCCGGGTCGCGGTCCCAGTCCAACTTGGCAGGTTCGGGTGGGAGGGGTGAGGGTGGCGGAGAGGGAGCCGAAACTCACCGGGCTGCGCGGCTCCTCGCGTCGCGGCCGCGGCCAGACAGACGCACAAGCAGAGCGAGAGGGGGCGCGGGAGGGTCCGCCGCGGGCTCATGGAAGGACCAGGGAGCCGCCGCCGCCGCCGCCGCCGCCCGAGCCTCCCTTCCTCCCTCCCCGGCTCCGGGCGACGGACGGGGCGGCGGGAGGCATGACGGGAAATTCCTGGGCACGGGCAGCCGAGTCCAAATATGAGCATAGGAGACGAGCGAGGGAGGACGGCGAGCACGCCCGCCGCGGACGGGGCCCGCTGCCCGGCCTCCGCGGCCGCCAGCTCCCTCCTCCTCCTCCTTCTCCTCCTCCTCCTCCTCCTCCGTCCTCACAGCCGCCCGGCCGCCGGGCGCGACCCGGGGAGGGAAGCCCTCTGCCAGGGGCAAGCCTCTCCAACGTGGGGGCCCGAGAGCGCAGTGAGCATCCCCCTCCCCCACGGGTCCCACCTGAGACCCCCGAAGGGGCAGGAAAGAGGACAGCCACCACCAGGAGGCCGGACAGCGGGCCAGGGTCCTAAGGGAAGACGTTTAAGGGGTTTGAGGAACCTTGCGCTGCCCCTAATCAGTTGGGAGCTTTGGTAGGGAGGGGATAACAAGATTCGGCAAATACTTCTCTAAGTGTGGGAGGGTGACACTGGAGCCACACTTCCGGTTATGCACTTACTCAGGTGAGCCATCCCGTTCACAACAAGCAGGCATTATAATAAAGCCACCCCCCTGCATGCCACGTGAGGGGCCCTCTACCCCAGGTGTGTGGGGTGTGCGCTTGCTTGCTTGCTTGCTTGCTTGCTTGCTTGCTTGCTTGCTTGGCCAGAATTACCAAAGGGCTCTTCCCAAACTTGTATTTGAACACCATATATGGAGTTGAGGCACGCTGAATGACAGTTTTTCACACTACCTAAATGCTGATGTTTAGACCTGTCGTTCTTTCTACCTCCAACCTCTCTTCATCCCCCTTACACTAGTCCTGTACTTATTGTAGCTTGTCTTAAGGGCAATGTTGAAATGTATTCAAAAGGTGCTGCCTCTGATGATCAAAATGTCAGTCCCAGATGGCTAATTACAGGCCTAAGCCAGTACCCTGACTTTTCTTTGGCACTGATAACTCCTCCAGGAATCAAGTCCGAATGACCCTTGGCTTTTCAAGACAACATAATTATGTCTTAATTACTGTAATTTATTTATCTTTACTCACACTAATGGGACAGGCCCTGGGGATGTAGGATGTTATGTAATTACTTTATGAACATTTTAAGATGCTACAGAAATGATTTATTGATGCAAAATACTTAAGGGGTAAATGTCAAACAGATTTAAGAGTGTGAGTTATTCTGACATGAACTAAAGTATGGTAATTTGTACATCACACTGTTTGAAAATGCTATATATATTTGAAAATCAGAAACTTTATTTCAAAACAAATTCAATTTTGGCAAAGTATTAAGGCCCATATGCCAAAAACCAGTCAATTTGCAAGTGGCTCCCCTTAAATCATCTGGCACTAAGAAACACCACAGCCCACCACAGCCCGGGCAGGCGGACAGATTCACCCTCAGTGTACTAGCAGTAATGATGGGACTAAGGGCAGATGACCCAAGTAAACAGTAAACAAACTAATACTGTCATTAAGGATATAAAAGACACCTAGCATTATTATTCAGTTCAGGTACTAGAAGCTGGGTAGTTGGAAGGGAATACTCAGAAAACTCTTGAGTATTACCTCTCTTTCCTCCTTATTTATATATTTAACCATGTATTATATAAGCATATGTTTTTGTTACTTTCCCCACAACACCTAGCATAGTTATTTGCCCATAGTCTAAATATTTATTTAAAAACAAAAGTAAAATGAGCACTGCCATCTGTAATTGGCATATAGGAGTTCTCTAAGTGTGAAGAAAAGCTTGTTTCAAAGGACTGTAGTTAAGTATGGCTATATTTAAAATATTTTAGTTGACCTTAAATACAAAAGTGTAAAACTATAAAGAACGCAATATCATTACAACCTAATTCATGTTACTACAAATGGAGAGTTAATTAATTGGATCAACTCTTCGAACTTAATCAGCAATATCAGCAGCTGTTCTAAAGGCTTGAATAAGTATGTTAAAGGGAGGAGAAAAGAACCAACGTTACTAAGTGCATAATAAGTGTCAGGCACTGTGCTAGATGTTTTACAGCTGGTATTTCATTTAATCCTTACAGATATGGCTGAGCTTATTTTTTTATCCTGATTTTACAGGTAAGAAGACAGAGACATAGATAAGTAAATTATTCTACCAGGAAAGGGTGAAGAAGTAGTGTTGGAATTCAAACCTCACTTCCAAGTCCATACTAATTTTATTCCTTTACCATACTAATCTGTCCCATTTTCTCTACAATTAAAAAATAAAGGTAGCAGCCGCCCTGGCAGATTTGGCTCAGTGGTTAGAGTGTCAGCCCACAGACCAAAGAGTCTCAGGTTTGATTCTGGTCAAGGGCATGTAACTTGGTTTCGGTTCAGTCCCCAGCCCTGGTCAGGGTCATGAGGGAGGCAGCCAGTTCATGTGTCTCTCTCTCATTGATGTTTGTCTTTCTCTCTCTCCCTCCTTCCCTCCCACTCTATCTGAAGATAAATGGAAAAATATCCTGGGGTGAGGGTTTAAAAAAAAGTGGCATTCAGAAACTGTATTCACTGGGCCCTTGTGGTTTTAAGTAACTGGTATGCACTCAGGTTACCTCAGGTAAGAGTGGTAAAGGATACATGTGGAAATAAGACCAGAGACTTAACTGGCTTGTCAAGTCATCTTTTGTGGGCCTGGGGGTTGGGACCTGCACCTTTTATAGGTACCAGGAACAGGAAAGGTTCTACCCTCCTACCACATTCCTGTGAGCTTTGTCCTTTAACCACTCATATTTAAATGATATATTTCACAATGTTTTCCTCTAATGTCCTTTTTACTACTTTCCCCACAACACCTAGTATAGTTCTTTGCCTATAGTCTGGATATTTATTTTAAAACACATTAAACATTAAGTATTTATTTTTGTTATTAATCTTAATAACAATCATGTAACATATTACCCTAAATACTGTTTGTGTTTACGACAAATCACCCAGAGGAGGTAACTGCTTTCCCCACTTTCTACAGACCATCCCTTCCTCAACCTAGTGGTGCGCCAGTGTGTTTAACAACTGGGTCTGGAGGAGGGAGACCTGAATTGTAACAAAACCTGATTTCTGTGGTGTCAATACACCCACCAGCCTGTCTGAAGAGAAGCCCTGTAGACAGGACCCCAGCACATCACCGCCCCAGCTGCCCATGAACTGTCTCAGAACACAGCAGTAATTCCCATTTTCACAACCACAGCCTTTCCTGCTTCTGCTCACACTACCAGTTGCCATTTCTCTCTCTAGTCCTAGAGGTGAAAACACGATTCTGTTACCATTGTCCCTCAGAAGGTCCTTGCGCAAGCCTATGTCAAAGCCACTGAGCAGCCCGTGGATTGGCTCCCTCCCAGCCAGGTGTCCTCTCCTACTTCTTCAGCTGTGGCGAGGATGAAAGACTCACATGTTACACAACATGCTCACCTGTGCTAAACAACAAAACCAAACAAAAAGCAGGCTGTGGTTCTACCTTTTCAGAGGCAGCCTCTTTCAAAGGGAATCTGTAAAGCATGACAGGTATGCATGCTGTAATCCCTCTGACATACTACTCTCAGCTCTTTGATGACATCCTCTCAGCCACTACACAAAGCTGTGGGACCATCCCCACTCCCACCCCAAGGAGTGTCTTGGTTGGACGCCAACAGCTGTGAACAGGAGCATGGACACATCAGGACTAGACCCTCTTCAGACGTCCCTGTCATGGTGGGAAACCCCTAAGTTAGGTCTTAAATTAAATGAATATTTATCAAGTGCCATTTTCCAAACCAATAATGATCAATTGGAGAGTAAGGGAATTATCTCCTAGGAGGATGTAACAGGCTCTCCAGAAGAAAGTTTTTAAAATTACACTCAATCCAGACTCCCAAAATTCTGTTTTGCTACCCTGGGAAGTAGAATGTTGTCACTCTCACCCCTGCTGAGAACACGGACTCATACTGATGGACGTGTGCTGTGGTGACAATGGAGTTAAGGAGAACTATTTTCTCAACAACAGGAAGGACACAAAGTCAATGCTGACTGGCTGAGGGAGGCAGCTGACATTTTCTCTCAGGTTCTGATCCATGACACCCTTTAAGCCCCCAGTCACCAAAGGCACTAAAATGACAAGGACTCTACCATTACACCAAGAGGGACTCCCAAACAAGGTCAGAAGACTGAATCAAAGTTCACGGTCCAATGGGCTGCCTGCATCTCAAATGACATTTAAACAAGTTTACACTCGTTGATCACTTCTGGAGAGATCTGCAGTACGCATCCCGAAGGATGTGCTGCCTGACTCCACCCGCTCTGGCTGTGGATGGATATGCTGCAAAGACTAAATATTTCACACGGTTGTCAGTATTATAGAGAATTAAACCACCTTGCTAGACTAGCAAAGCTGTTTGGCCTTTGGAAGACTGCATCACACAAAGTGGGATATGCAAAGCCGACCACACACGAAGAAGGCGGAGGAGGATGCATGACAATGAGCTATCTAAGTTGTATGGGAGGATTCTGGCAGGAGACTGGACTCTGCTCTTTCACCCAGTCTGTCCCTCAGTGCTTCTCACACACACAGAGTATCTCGCCCCATGGTGTGCGTGTCCAGTGTTTACGCACAACTTGTCCATAACTGCAGACTAGCTCCTTCATGTGTTATTTATCCCAAGTGGTTACACTCTGATCCTGTAGTAGAGGAACCACTGGCTGCGCTGGGCCTGCTGGGAAACCATATGTTGTTCTCCAAAATGATGCCTTCTCTCAGGATTCTCCTCAGTATGTGCACCTCTGCCAAATCTCAAAGTTAGATGCAGCTCGCTCAGGGGTTAGCGCCTTGGGCTTTGGCACCAGACAGATCTAGGTTCAAGCATGGCCACTACTATTACAGCCTGTGGGACAATGGGCACGTGATGTAGCCACTCTAAGCCTTGCTATTCTTTCTGCTCTGTAAAATGAAAAACAAAGGTACCTACCCCTCCGGAGACTTAGCACTATGCTAGCAAATGGTGAATCCTTAATAAACAGTAATAAACTTAATATAGTACTAATACAATATAATTGCTTACCAACTTTAATCACCAC